GTCAATGTGTGGCTAAATGCTGCAAGCAAAAAAGAACGTGAGCTACATGATTTTGGGGAAAATTCCCAATTAAAATTCCAGAAATGCAACGATTTAAATACATAACATAAAGGCAAGGCTAACACTTGTGTCAGAATAGTGAATAAGCACAATAGAAGTCTTTCAAGGCCAGACAGAGATCCATCACAGATGATTTGTGACTGTGACCCACATCAGCACACCAAAGCAATACTGCCTTCCCCCACCTTCGTCCAATCACTTTTAAATTCAGGTTTTCCAGCTAATGTGTGTGGTGCAGTATGATTTAAAGATGAGACAAACATATATATATGCAGGAACCGGTGTGCTTCATCCCACCGTCATGGGTTTATTCTAAGTATATCTATACTGATCCCGAACTGAGACAATCAGCAGCGCAGCATTGTGTTTTTTTTAGCTCAGCTCTAGGAATGTCAATGAGGTCCTACACTCTCAAAAACCATTGGACCGATTATCCTAAATGTGTGTACACACATCAATTGTCCCCGGAGGATAAATCTCACATAGACCTTTGGTGGTCCCCCAACTTTTAATCTAGCACCATCATGAAGCTGATATGTGTTATTTTAAGTGAATGGAACTATTCTAAGGGTTTCCATGAAAAGTGTTACATTCATGTTCCCCTCAGGATGAAATGTAATAGTTACTGATACCTTAACCTTTCATAGTGCCATTAACCTGCAAAACCATTGAAATTCCCTTCAGCTACATTTTAACTTTGTTTGTAGTGCTAATTGTGTAAGCATGTCAAACCTGTCTCCTACAAAGCTTCTTTTCCATACAACTAAACTGCATTTTCAATTACATTTTCAGGGAAAACATATTTACTTTTATATTATGGTCGCCATTTAAAAAAAAGGTGTAGTCAAAGGTCGTAGTTTGATTTAAAATAAGTATGTAAGTATGTACATGATGTTGATTAGAATAACTAAACGTTGACTTTTTCCTCACGCAGGAGACACAAAGCTAACTAACATTTTACCTGGTAGACAGCATGATATTGTACAGCATTGTCATTGTGAGCATAATTGTTGTGCAGCTCCACTAAATTGGAACAGTCTGCAAACATGTTTAAAACTGAGCACTTTGGTTCCCCTGCATCATTTTAAAACTCAGCTGGCTGACATGCCGTTTGATACTCATGGTACCTGTCTCTGTAAATAGAGTTTGTAAACTGTACCCTGTACATTATGATGTATGTCATCCTTATTGTTGTTCTGTTGTTTTTATGTTACATGTGTAACTAATGTCCTGCAGGTCACCCTTGAAAAAGAGATCTTTTGATCAGGGCTTTACCTGGTTAAATAAAGGCTACAAACAAACAAACAATAGCATGTTGTTAGCATCTAGCCTGAAGCAAATGTTGTTATAAGTACAGCCTCTTGTTAACGACCTATATGTAGCCTAACCTTACATTGTTACCAAATTTGCTTTGACACATATTATCTTTTAAACATCTTCAAAATCTATCATATTGTTAGAAATAGTAGAGTTTGATGACAGATGTATTTTACTGGTATATGCTGCTTGGCAGACTTGCTATTAAAACATGCAGTAGCTGAGTTCAGGAGATTGGCAGGGGTGGGATAAAGCTCAGGGGGGCTTCCTGTCTTCACCAGGCAGTAAACTATTAGCGGAAGCACTTCTCATAGCAGTATAAATAGCAGACCCACACATAACTCAGACTGAAATACCCGCTCATCTCATCCTCTGTCTGGCATCAGACAGTTCAGCTTAGGGCCCTCAGGAAAACAAAAACCCGGTAGAGATAATAGGGACACTTTACAGAAGTCTGTGATACCAGATCAAGGCTCTTATGGCATAATTTAACTCTCTTCCAACAAGTCACTGACAGGGTCTCCTTACAGCACGGTCAATATGAGATCATCGGGTCACATGGGGTGACCTTTGCTGCCATATTGAAAAGGGGCGGTTGGGTTTGAAGGGCAGTCGAAACTGTAAAACTGAACAAAAAGACATTTATTCCATACAGCTGCCAGCTGTATCTGAATCAGAGTGTCTGAAACCTGACATTGTATGATCCTGCCTTAGAAGAAATACACATAACTCCTCTGATGCTTTAGACGTTTAGAGAAACAAACTCCAATGATCTGAGCAAGTCCCAAACCAGAGAAGGTGACAGTATTACTAAGTCGTTTTATATTCGCACTTTAAGGCTTTGGGTTGTGTCATACAGCCATGAGTAAGCAAAGAACAGAGCATCAAAGCAGTAATATCACTTTCACCATTAAACCCGGCGACACAAAACACAATGAGGAGAACACATTTGCGCCATGGGCAAAAGTAACCCAAACCTTCATTAGACAAAGAGAAAAAATGAGTCAATAGCATCTAATTACATTTAGTTTAAGGCAAATCAAGAGAGGAAGAGATGAGATGGGAGCACCTTGGAAACTAAACTCCAAGATCTGACCTGCAATAACACAGAGAGGGCACTATCATAAAGTACTTTTCAGGCAGGAAAGATAATTGCTCTGTTGCCATCTGAATAATACATTTATCTAACAGAGTGCAATAACATCAGATATCTTCATCCACAATGCTAAAGAAGTCCTCATTCAGTCTAAGGGACGTACCAGTGAATGACATGATCTCTGCATCTTCTCTTGAGGAACCGGCAAACATGTAGATATCTTAAAGGTTGAATTAATTAACCTTAACAATCAGTATTTTGATGTCCTTTTTAAGTTTGCCGTGTGGTCAGAATCAGGACTCCAAAAGACTGATTACGTTGCTCCATTACAGCTGGATGTGTAAACAAGCCACTGTTTGCTAAAATATTTGTCATATCAACTAAGAAGGTGATGATATGACGATATTACCAACTTGTTTCTGTTGTTCCCCAGAAGCTACATTTGGATTGGAAAAATGTCTTCAATCTTTATTTTAAACCACTTTAAAGGGCATTGGATTATCTATAACAAAGTGAAGTACTTTTATCATCAAAATATCTGACTACCCTGCATGTCATGTAAAGATATAGGAAATGATCAGGGGATGAAATCATTATTACTAAGTGATCTATGCAGACAATCGGTGTGAGGTCACAGAATACTGGAAACAGCATTATTCATCAACTCTCTTCCGGTACGTGCATCACATCAGCACATCACTTTATTGACTCCTGCTGGCACTAACTCCACTGGTGCAGCATGGGCATTTGCCTCAGAAGTCTTCCGGCATTTTGAAACAGGCCACAGTATTAAGTGTTAAAGCTCATGGTCACTTTTTTAAATATCTTCCAGGAATGCTACTGGACAGTGAGCAGGTTTAAGAGGGGCCACGACCCTCGCTCTGAGTGTCTGTGTGTCTGTGTGCTGATGTCATTCCCCCGGTCTGACCAGGCGACAGGGAGACTCCAGCTCCAGTAAACTGAGGAGCCAACGGTTAAATATGGAGCTCCAAAACAGGGACCTGAAGTAAATAATCTCCCTCGTATTTCTTATATTCAGGGGTGGTAGGTAATTAAGTGTAGTATAGGTTTAAGCTACCTGTATTTAAGTATTTCTATTTTAAACAATTGTATATTCTTAAACACTACAATTCAGAGGGAGATTGTGTACTCCATACATTAAGTGACTTTTCATAAAAAACATGATGTTTTTATTAAATATCATAGATTAATCTAACCTGAAATATATTGACATGAGAAGTGGTTCACAAAAAATAGCATGACAATTAATTATCAATACAATATAATGCGATACTAACATAGAACTATAACAGAACACGGCCGAGGCCAAAAATGATTTGTTCATTCACCCTGTGATCGAAATCTGTGTTTTTCCTTGGCCCATTCTACACCCTTCCACCAAGTTTCATGGAAATTCGACAGTAGTTTTTACACAATACTAAAAAAAAAAAAAAAATTTAAAAAAAACTGAAAACCTAAAATCCTTGTTGAAGGTAATAATGGAAAGTTTAACACACAGCAGTAGTTTATCTGCACAAAACAAATACTTTCATTCATACAGCGTCTGAACCTTTACATTTTCAAATTTGAATTTTATTTAGATGTAATAGAAATAATGTTATGTGTGGAACATAATCTGAATACTTATTTCCCCACTGTTCATATACATATCACACATATCATCTGTGTGTCCAAAGTTTAACAAAAACCTTTAAAGATGTAAACTGAATGTGCCAACTGACCTCTATCAGACCTATATAGACCTTTATAGATATATTACAGAACTGTTCTCTCTGGAACCCGTTCAGATGAAATACAATTGAAACCTCTTGCTTTAGGAGAGGTAAGACTGTCTCTTATTAATCGTGATGCCGTAAACATTTTGGATGATTTAAAAGCAGATCTGCTGTTATAACTCATGAGGGTATGTTCCAGGCACACTGAAAGATGCAGCAAAACAGCTGTTGGAAAACACATCAGAGACCAAACACATTCAAATATACAAGCAATCACAGATCTCATCCATGAACACATACACACTCAGCCCTACACACCATTGGACACATTCGTATCTCTATTCCCCTTCTGTGAAGTCAGCATCAGACCCAAACTGCTCTAAAGAAATGCTGTTCACTTAAAAACCTTTTTTCCCTCCTTGAGAAATCACTGCCTGCCAGCTGATTCAGCACAATCTATACTCTCATCCACTTACTGTAAATCATGGTATTTTACCTTAGAGCTCATGGGCTGCTCTTGCAGTACGTGCTGCACATTAAACATGCTAAAACTCCTGCACCCAGTTCAGATAATTGAGTGTAACAATGATTTAGCAAAACTGAAGACTGGTGCAGCACAGAACTACTGACTGTAACAGACACACATTTCAGATTTCAACCTTCACTAAAAACGAAAATTCATGGTATGGTGAACATTTTGCATACAGAGCAGGTGCAAGCACACCACACATCTCAGCTCTCAGCAAGAGGACACACATGGTACAGGTTCAGTGCCGCATTCATCTACTCACCAGCTTTTAGACTCTGGGGTAAGCTGCTGGTGAAGTGCTAGAGAGAAGCCAAAAAAGGTGCCATGGTCTCCCAACTTATGAAGTGTGTGAGTAGTATCCAGGTTAAATCCCCACACTTGGCTTGAAAGGGTCAAGAGAGCCCAGAGGAGAGTAGTCCAACAAAGAGAGGAGCAAGATGAGAGGGAGATGGTGTTCCCATGTCCCACCGGGGCTGCCATAGCAGGGTGCAGGTCCTCCTAGCAGCAGAGCAAGTTCACTTCAAGAAGAGTAGAGGGGAGACTCCTTGTTTGGCTCCCAGAGTGATAAAAGAGAAAACCCTGTAGTCTCCTCTTCTCTGTGGATGCCTCACTTGTTTCCAATCCTCTTTATTTCCCCGCCTTGCTGCACCGTGCTGCCTCCCAACTCCGTTTGCTGCTGTCAGTCTGAAGAGCAGGCTGTGAAAATGTGTGAGTGTGTTTCTCTCAATTCATGTGCGCCTCCCCCTCCTCTGTGCTCAGAGAGAGACAGAGGACAAGTGCCTTGAATAGCCCCCTCACTCCTCCCCCTCCCCTCTCTCTTTCTGTCCCTCCCTCCCTCCCCTCTCTCAGCTGACATCAACACTCAAGGGACTGCTGCCAAAATACCAGGCAAGGTTGTCAAGATACTTGGAGGCTACTCAATAGAGAGGGACAGGGTGAAAAGACAGTAGACTGTTTTATCTGTTTTAGTTCACATGGTCCACCTCTTTCTGTGGCCACTGTTTGCTGCAGGTGCTTGTAGATCTGTGGATCAAACAAGGCAAAAACACTTTTCACAAGCTTTCAAGTTAAAAAGCCAGACAGAAGAGAAATCTTTAAGGCTTTGTTCTTACTTTGAGCTTGAAAGCCTTGACGTCTGACTCGATCTGCAATGAATAGGAGACAAAAGGGGCCTACATGTGCACAGTGACCCAAGAAACTTTATTACAGACCTTTAGCTCCTCTTTAAAAAGGGAGAGCGGGAGAGATGTGCTTTGACAGAACAATGAGACATAATCAGGAGAATTGCAGGATTTCATCAAAGCAAAATTGATAAATTGTGATTTTTCTATTTACTACTGAAACGAATTGATGCCTGAACACAATTATTTTTGAATACAGGTAGCTCAAACCGGCAGCATAATCCCAGACCTTTTACCCACAGCTGCTGTTTTAACCGGCTGATTTCTGTTTCTCTTGAGACAATCTGGTTGCAGCTGTCAGTGTGTCACCTCAACTGTTCCAGACTATAAACCTCACACACACACACAGCAGTTGCAGTGTGTCACCTTTCTAGTTAGGATGCTATTTTGGATAAAAACATTTGTTTGAATAGATTTTATTCAGCCTATAAGGTTTTAGGTAGATATTAATATTTTAAATATTAAGGTGAGATGAGATTTTTTCCAACTCATCCCACAGGTCTGACTTTCTTGTGCTCAGTAGAACTAGATCATATAGGGGAGGGGATATCACAGTATCAAAGATGTTATATCCATTACAGAGGTTGGAACACAATACTTGAAGTTGCACTTAAACTTCTCACAATGCCAACAAAAAGAAGACGTCCAAGTCTTTTCTGTCAAGTTTCATGTTTGGTGTGCATAAACTCGCAGTGAGGGACTACCACAACTTACATTTTAGAGGGTTTGCTTGATTCTCTAGCTTTACTAAAACACATCTTAAGACTGTCAAGATTAGTGTCTCTTGGCACTATCATCCTATCATCAATGTCTACAACACACCAGGTTACTGAAAGGAGGAGGCTGAATTCCTCTCATGTGATCTGGCTGGCATCATGAACCACTTTTTGGTGTCAAACACTCTCTGCCCCCTGCTGCCCTTATGTGGTATTAAAACGTGCTGATACAACCGCTTTCATACACTTGGTGAGGGTTTTTTATGACTTCATCCTCCACATTTATATCAATGAGTATTTGCTAAACTCAGGCTGTATTATGTTAGCTAACAACCTTACACACTGGCAACTACAACAAGTTCAGAATAAGAACTAGTTTTAGCTTTGTGTCTATTTAAAAGCCTATATATTGTTGGCTCTGAAGGTGAAATCCAGTAGCAATCTCTCTGGTGACACAGACAATATTTTGATAACAAGACAAAGAGTTACAGCCATGCTAGCAGCTTTGTAGGCTGCACTTTGAGCTAAATGCTAATGTAAGGATGCTAGCATGCACACAATGACAATCCTTACATTTAACTTGTATGATGTTAACCATGTCCAGTGTCAACCATTTAAGCGTAGCATGTTGCTTTCATGTGCTAATCGGCATTTAAAATAAAGGAGAGTCGAGCAATGCTACTTTTGTAGTTGTTGGCCATAAACAAAACTATTGGACATACTGTAGTATAATTTTTACTTTAAGATGTTAAATAAGAAGTCAGGAGATCACCATAAGTTTAACGGGGGGGGGGGGACGACAAGATTTTCTGTACCAAATGTCATGGAGGTCCATCAAATAATTGCCAGGACATTTAAACAAAATTGACTATATGGTGGCACTAATTGAAAAGTGACCAATCAGTAGGATTCATCTTCAGGACAGTAAATGTCTGCACACAATTTCATGCCATCCATCCAATAGTGGATGACTTTGGATGGATGAGTTTCAGTCTGGTCCACAGTATTATTACACAAACTGACTGACATTGCCATGACTCTCAAGCGACAACGCTGATAGTTCAGTCTTTTGTACCCTAACTGGACATTTGTTAACTTATCTTTAGTGATGGAAAAGATGGATGAATAGCAACATATAAATAATGTTGGAAACATGTTATTCATTATCTTTGGTAACAGATAACAGATTTAAAATGATCAAAACATAAACAATGCTGTCAAGTCTGTTTGTGTTTCCAAGCATGTGGGAAAGTTCGGCATGCCTGTATCTCTGCGGAGCATTTTGGCCTGAGCGTCAGCACGTAATGGGAGTTTTACAGCAGTTGTTCCCACACACAGCTCACTGACTTAGTGGCCTCACTGAATATCTCAAATCAAATCGAAAGGTTGATTACTGATATCCAATAACATAGAGTGCCCCCTGGCCGTTGTCCAGCTTGAGATATAAATACTAGAAGGATTCCATAAGCAAAAGAAAAGAAGAAAGAAGTAGGAATGGTGTGGGATGTGGAGAAATGCTGAACACTTCTTAATAGCAGCTCAGGCAGGAAGCCAGACAAGAATTCCTTTAGACAGAACAGAGCATAGTCAGAGAGAAGGACAGAAGAAAGGGAAAGAGAGAAGAAGAAAGAGATGGAGAAGAGGAGGATATTGGCTGTAAAGATTATCTGCCACAACGTTCATGACACTGGCGAAGTGCTCATTAGCAGTCTGAGCCACACTTCAAGGAGAGATCTTATTTTAGACGCAAGCAGGGAGAAGTACATACGGGCAGGGTCATTATTCCTGTTATAGCCCCCCTTCAGTACGATGACTGAGACAGCCGCAGTCAGCACTATTAGTGTATTGATTAATGGAAAGTGTGGGATGCTATAAGAGGGAGTGGTGCTGGTTATTATGGGATTAAATGCAAGCATGCCCACTCTTGCCACTCCACTGCACATGGTCTCAAAGGAAAAGGCTAAACTGAGTGCAGTGGTTTTGTCAGACTGTATAAAATAACATTGAGCTACAACATAATGGATTTTTCTATCTTACACTGACTTATTTGTGAGACAGTCTGAGAAGCAAGCCACTACATTTCTCCATTGATTTGATGCATTACTGCAAAGCTCCAAAAAGTTTTGAGTCTAAATACAATCTAAACTTGTCATACTCACACACTGCAGCCATAAATAATTTTGCACTCGAGACGGCAAAAAGACCAACACAATTTTTTTATAACACAGTGCAAAAAAAACATTTACCATAAAGGAAGTATTGAAAAGCTTTCCTTTAAATCTAATCTTAAAAATGTACTTGGTCTTATATATAAGTATAGTCAATGCACAAAAATGCTATGGTTTGTTACAGTTAATACAATAGAAATCAATCACAAATTCAAAAGTATTGAAGATACATTTAAATCATCAACTGTGTTAAAATCAAAAGCAGCGATTCATTTGGGAGTCTGGAACCATGATATATTTTGTATTTAATGATTTACTAAATATCTGCTTATCCAGTTTCTGTCATTTAATTGACTAAGTGATTAATTATTTCAGTCGATCTTGTACATAATTTCAAATGTGTTCATAAAAACAATTCATACAAAATATTCAACTGGTGTGACCCAACACAATCTGACTTCAGTGCTGTGGTACATTCTACAATCATCCCTAAAAAGAAACAGGACGACATAACATCTGTTGTGGTTGAAAATCCAGCCCCTATGGTACGCATAATCATAATGAGACAAAAAAAAGTCATAGGTTAATTGTCTTGCATGTGAAACAATATGCTTGATAACAAGACCTGGTATATCCAACATGCAGCATACCGTATTACACGGTTTCTGTTTTCTTTACAAAATAAAACTGGTTAGAGGCGACCTCTAGTGGCAGGTAGAGGACATACAAAAATAAGCATTTTTAATGTAGTTTCATGATAACTTCAGCAATTCCTATGACACTACAGTTCTTATACAAGGACAATCTTAAAACTCCTAAGTTGATTATCAACAAACTAATTTAAGTAATATATTTTAGGAAAATATGATTAAATCTGAATTGTTAATACATACATAATCCACAGAATAAATAAAGCCTTAACAGTACCCATGCTTAAGGTTTTTGTAGGTTTTTTCTTTATTTCTCTGTCTCCTAACTTGAAATGTGTGTGTTTTGGTAAACAGCACACATTTAAATGTCCATTACACAATCTATATTTCAAACAAATTTACCCATAAAAAGCAGCAGCAGCAAGATATGGCAAATGTTTGACAAAATGATATTGTAAATTGTGTATTTCCCAAGATATAGTTCAATTTGGAATCATGTAAAGGGGATTTCCACTGATCCACACATTTCACTTTCCTGTGAAAACAGTGGCGAAACGTTGTTCTTAGACATGAAGCGGTTTGGTCAAATAATCTCTCCAGTTTATGGGTCTGGGCCATAAGAGGGGTTGTAGGGCAACGGTGCAAATTCATCTGAATGTGGAGGCGGGGCATAGGGCTGGCCGGGGTAGGAAGTCATAGGCAGCCCGGGAGTGTATGCAGATGAAGGGCAAGCTGGATCAGCTAAAATGAAAAGAAATATATATAATAACTTTAATTTGGTTTGTTGTTACTAAAACTGTGTGTTGCTTGCATGTAGCAATTATACAAAAGATAATACAGATCTTGTTTTCTATTTTTGTGATGGAACGAATAAAAAAAATATTAAATAGTTCCCATTTTTAATCCTTGCGTACAAAATAAAATGGAAAGCAGTTTCAATGAGGAATGTGTAGTATGATTATTATTATTTCAACTTTCAAAGCCTTGATATTTTCCCCTCAAATCAACACACTTTCTAAAGGAAATCAGATTTAGATATGGTAAAGGAGAGTAAACTGAAACTAAACACCCAGGTGGATTAGATTGCTGGGTGAAATCAACCAAGCCTGCTACACCCGTTTATTCCTCTCAGCCTGATTCCTTTTGCATGCACAAGCCAATGCTAAGATAATAAATGTCATGAAATAACTTACTGGCTTCCAAGTATGAAGGCGGTGCTGAAGGGAGGGGCACGCCTCCATATCCAGGCTGAGCAGATACAAAAAGGTAGCCGGGGTAGGACGGATGATATCCAGGAGGGGGGTGTGGCTGCTGCGGCACGTTGACAACAGTGGGGGTGTTTCTTGCAGCTGTAGGTAAAGTCATAGGTTGAGTTTGCTTTAAAAAAAACAAGGTACCAATACTCAGCTGAGTCAAATTGTGTCACTATATAGTGAGAGAAAATATAGTTTTTTTGTTCAATAGAAAGATTTCAAACTTAAAGGGGCTTGTAGACAGATAGTGTTACCTTTGGAAAGAGCCAGGCTAACAGTTTTTATTTACCTCACCTGTTCCAAGTTAAGTTAACATGCTGCTGGCTAACTTCATATTTAGCTTAGCTTACACAGGAGATCGTTATCAAACTTATCTCTTATCTATCAATATAACTCTTGGCAAGAGAGTGAATAACCGCATTTCCCATGAAGCCAAATTCCTTCAAATGTTACAGCCTGCAGATCCAGTAGCCTACATAACATTATTTTTAAATAAAGTTGTCCTCCACAAATGTTACTGAAACAAAAAATGTGACCTACTTCGGGGCCTTTGGTTGCGTCCTTTTCTGCATTTCTTGTAGAAGAAGCAGCAAGGAACCACACAGCAGACGATGACAACCACCACACAGATGATAATAGGAATAACAGACGCTAAGATGATTCCAATAATTGGAATAGGGTTGGAACGTTTTGCAAGGCTAGAACAATTGGGCAAAATAAAACACTTCATTATCAATCAACCTCTTTATGTCACATTATACAAAACACAATCCCAGAAAAATCTAGTTTTGAAATAAAAAGTTGTTTTCCTTATCCTGAAACTAAATTCATTTAAACGCAGGTTCAAAACAAAAACTCACCTTCCTTCACAGAGTTTTTGTTTTGATCGTCTGAAACGGTTTGTCTTGTCACTGCAGCAGTATTGTTTTTGACAGTTTCCACAGCAGTACTGGATGCCACACTGCTGAGTATTATGTTGGTTACCATCGGAGTCCACATAGCTGCTACAATCATCCGCTGTAACATAAAACACATGGTCTTGGTAAAGAATTGTGATGGTGATGGATTTAGGAGTAAAACTGTACTGATGATAAATAACAAAAAAAGTTATACAGGCATGTGCATACGAGCTAATGCTAACTGTCATTGAGAAGTCAAATCAAAGTTGTAGTATTGAAACTGGGTCACCTGATAGGTAACTAATTCAACATGACTCTGTGTTATATTAGTTAAAAATGTTTGACTGACTGAGGAAGTTCTTAGGACTCTATGTTTGTATAAAAAAACAAAATAAAACTCACCCCATACAGCCGGGATCAGGATCACACAGAAAGCACACACAAGACTGAACAACACACCTGAAACCATAACTGCTGTGATATGGTGTAACAAGGAGTGAATCTGCCTCTGCAGTGAGAAACCTGTCAACCTGTCTGTCTGTCCCACCCTAAACAAGTTGTCCAACAGCATTCCTTACTTCACAAGAAACAGTCGCCACTGGATGTATGCAAGATACAATTTTAAATGATTTGTCGGCAATCTGGCTATGCTTCACTTCCATTAAGCTGCACAACTTTAATTAACATTTAATTTGGTTGCAAGTTTAAGAAGATGTCTCTGTATAAGGAAACCCTGGAAATTGAAACCAACTTGAATTGAAACCTAAGCCCCAGGTAGATCTACTGGTATTGTTTTCTGCATCCACCCACTCTTTATTTGATTGTCCTTTGGCACTTTCCTTATTTCCCAACTTCTCCCTCCACACCCTGAATGATTGAAGATCTAAATCAAAAGTGAACTCCAAAAGGTGTCAGATCTTTGATTGTTGACATTCAAACTCAAAACTTAGGCTAGTGACCATAGTATGCATGATATAGTATGAAAAAACATATTAGACTGTATTAGAAGTTTTAAGTATATTTTCTCTACTGTCATAACAACTGATCTAGAGATATGCCTTCCTTATTTACCTATTAACATATTACAATGACATAAATAAAAAAAGGTGTACCCTAATATGATTCGTACCAACATTAATTTATAACAGGTGGGGTGGCTGAAAGACTTGACCCCTATTGAGCCATGGCATCAATAGCGGCAAGCATGGCTAATACGTTTGAGAACAATCATCATCATCATCATCATCATCATCATCATCATCATCATCATCATCATCATCATCATCATCATCATCATCATCATCATCATCATCATCATCATCATCATCATCATCATCATCATCACCTACATTATCTTGCATAGATTTAAGGGTGTAAAACCAGACCCTGTAGAGCAAATGTCAAGAAAAACAAACCAGAGAACAATGTGACAGTAAGTTATGCACACAAAAAAGCTAATGTATTGAATTAACATAGGCTATTTGAATGGGATCAGACTGTACGAATTAATCATGGCGTCCAGGTTACAACATGTTGCGTTTTTGTTTGTAGTGTTTAAATAAATTGCCTTACCTGGGAGGAAAAAAATCAGACTGTGCAACGGGGGTCCAAAGTGTTACTGCAGCTTGGCATCGATTGGAGACTTACTTTTTCATAATTTGGGAAAATAGACAATGCTAAACAGAGCTCAGTAAAAATGATCGCTGGCAGCATGTTCTGTTATAGGGGGGGGCAGGGGGGGCCAGTGCCCCCTAACACTTACCTCTGACCCCCCTGTGGCCCCCCTAACAATGAAAACTTTTTTTTTTTTTTTTTTTAAATGTATATGTTCTGGTACTCGGTTTGCCAAAAACCGCAGGATTTTGTTGCTGTAATGTGAGATTGTGCAGACACCCTTATGTAAAGTAGAGATGTAACTGTTCATTGCCTTTATTTTTATATAAATATGGTGTTAGTGCAAACATTGCACTATAACTTAAGCTGAAGCTAACAGTAATAACTATAAGATCTATCTGAAATAAATAAGTGTACTGAAACAAATACCAATAACTGTATTGCATTGTTTTCTTATGCGCAATTACTTCATACTGTCTAGTTCTCTTTTTCGTCCTGCATTTATTGTGCCCCCCTCAGAAAATAACTGGCCCCCCAGTGGCCCCCCAGTCAAATTGGTCTAAAACCGCCACTGACCAGGCAGCAGAAAATGAGATGCACTTTCAAATTGACCCATGCAGATTAAGGCTATCCCTTTAAGAGAGAGAGAGGGGGAACCATAGAGGGGGGACACGTGTGTGGCGCGTGCATGTGTATATCGAGCGAGTGTTGCATGTTCCTCCTGGGGGTGAACGGGAGTAGCAGAAGTGAAACGTCTTTCTATGAAATTAGCTTTGTAACCAAGTCACAAATAAACACACCGGCCTGTCTGCCTTATTTAAAAGTGGGTTTCTGAACCCGATGCCTGTCGCTCCGGCCTTGGAAGACTGCAGAGAGTCATCAGGTAGATCAGCTCCTTTCCTACTACTTATTTTTCCTCCTCACGCTTCTTTTGGCTCGGCCATTGAAGGAATTCAGGAGGTCAACCACTCCCATGTTAACCTTCTTTCTGTATCAATTTTCGCTTGCCACCAGGTTAAGTTCTCTTTAGCAGGCACTTTCTCTGCCGTGTAGAGGGGCTCCCTGTGGCAGCAAAACGTATACAAAACATAGCCTACTCTTTTCCAGCCTTGATATTTATACCTCAGACTGATATAATTGCATGTTAGCCAAGCTAAATCATTTATTATGAATCAATGCAAGCAGATCATGTAGCCCAGGGGTGCCCAACCTTTTTTGAACCGAGAGCTACTTTTAAAGTTGCCAGTCTGCCGAGATCTACCAGTCCAAATAGAGAGGCGTAGCCATTTCTGACAGCCTACTACCAGGTATAAATACACACTTCTACTTGTATAAAACTGACCTTTGTACAATTAATACTTCATAAAATCCTGCAGATCCTTTATCTTACCTCTTTCTAATCTACACACATACAAGTATTCAACTGAAGTTACACAACAGTGTTGTTGATACAGAGTTGGAGTTTATTCACACGTCACATACTACAGTTGGTAATGTTTTCAAGAAACATTGAACAGTGCTGCCACATATGACACAGGAAGAAAAGAAAATACTCTGAACCCTTTCTTTGCCATTATATAAAAATAGTGTTGCTACAAAAATATAAATTAGGCTTACTAATAAGACAACTCAGATCTGAAGCTACACAGGAATCTGCTGCCAAAGTGCAATAAAAAAAGATTATCTAAAAAATGTATAGAATCAAACCCTTTTTTTGTTGCATTTTAGTAGAGTATAAAAATAAATGCCTTTAAAATAGGATGCAAGCAACTCTAGTTTCTTAACCTGAATTGATAATTAAGCAATCATACACGAGAGACCGTTCTTTAACGTCATTATTGGTACGACAGTACTGCGGCAGGACCGAGGCGCTTGCGCCGAGGTCCGTACGCCTGTACTGGAGATTCTATAACACAAACTATCAGTGTAATCAACAATATCGTAAAATAATTTCATAATGTGGGCTAATTTGCTCCCAAACCTTCACTTTCTGCTTGAGTTAATCTCCGTCAGAAAGTAGTTCCTATAAAGTAGTTCCCTTGGTAACGAGAGCCGATCAATCGAACACTCCTGCTTCCCCGCTTACAGTTATTGATATAATTATAGTAAATCATATATTATTAACCAATTTATTGAAAACAATTTATTGACAACAATTCTTGAATTAGGCTATTTATTTACATATTTAACATTTTGGCTTCAGAATGAAGGTGGATGTTCATGCTGCCATTAAACGTGCAATTTTTGAAACAACTCATGAACTCCATGCCAGACTTTTTTGCAGTTGGTGCTGTGGTGTTCACGGAAGAGCTTTCCTCCAGTGGCCGTTTGGCGTGTCCCGGACCGGCAAAAAGCGCGTTGCTCCACATTTTTCTGTTGTCCAGATGATAACTATAAAATCTGACATTTTGTAGCTAACGATTTTCCAACGAGAGATAATGTAACAATGTAACAGCTGTGTGTCGCTATGGAAACCACTACTTCTCCGCTGCTTTCTTGTTCCAGTTTGCAGTTAGCTTTTGAATTGTGGTATTTTTCCAGTTGGTCTACCTGCTCTTCACGTAGCTCTGCATGTTGTAGTTTAGGTGCTTTTTTTTCTAGGCACTCCTCAATCCAGTCCTCCACAGTAAGACCCCCCCGGAGGTTGAAGTTAATCTTAAATGTTTCCATATTATGTTTGGAAGTTTGTTTCGTAACGTAAAAATGAGGGTTTCTGCCCCGTTACTTCTCCGCTGCTTTCTTGTTCCAGTTCAAGGGTATACCGTTTTTCTCAGACGCGGAGGGATACTGACTTGTTGTGAAAAGGCACGTTCTATTTGACCGTTCTTTGATCGTGGAATCAAACACGCGTATTGACCAATCAGAGAGCTTGCTCACACCTATGTGTTATAGAATAGACTATAATCAATTTAAGTTTGCATTCTTATACCATTTTGTACAATAATTATAATGAATAAGTTCAAACTTACAGCTGATTAATAACGGTATCTAACTTTAGTTTTTATTATATCAAAAACCTGTTGAAATGCTACTGTTATTTTTTACTGTCCCCAAAAAGCGCATCGGCAGCCTCCAGGAATGCTTTTCACAACTTCGCCGTCTTTGAAAGACTTCATGTGTTTCGCAAGAACGTGACTGACACGATAAGATGCTCTGGTAGCAGCCTTGCTCTTGTTGTTGGGCCTGGTGAAAATGGACTGCTGTGCATTTAGCTGTCCTTTCAGGCCCCTCCCCTTTTGGGAGCGTAGGGCAGAATTAGGAGGGAATTCCGTCTCGTCGCGTTTGTGCTCCTAAATTACTCTTCTTCGATAAAGCCACGCTCGCATTGCAGATGAGACAGATGGACTTTGAATTGGAATAGATACAAAAATAATGATCCTCCCACTCGGAGTGAAAATTATATATTTTGGGCTTTTTTGCTTCTGCCATAATTGCGGTCTTGTGTGTGTGCGGACTGTCACTCCTGTTGACACGGACAAAGTCAGCGAAATAGTGCCCACTGCCCACCAGCCACGCCCCGACACATGGGGTCACGCCGGCCAATCACAAAGCTTTGATGCGTTCAAGTCCATTATTCTGGCACAGGAAGATTATGTCATAGGACATTAACGATAAAACCGAATATTGTTGTTCTATTTTTAGACACATCTCGCGATCGACTGGGAATCTCCCCGCGATCGACCGGTCGATCGCGATCGACTGGTTGGGCACCCCTGATGTAGCCTATGAGCACTGTAATCATTACATAGTGGTTTAAAAAACCCATTTTCATCAAGATATGTTGTCCCTTACTTAACAATATATTTTACTTTCTAGGAAAAACCATGAATTTTCTTCAAAATATTTCCTTATCTTTAAAATATACCAATAACAAACAATGTAGTCAAACATTCAAACTACACTTTATTGACCTCATTTGTTTATAAAATAAATGCAGAAAAAGTTTTGTTTAACTTGTGAAAATAGTGTGTTTATTTTAATTAACATTTAAATTAATCAACTCTGGTTCAAATTGTAACAAATCATGACATAAGACGGATACATTTTTGAGAGTATAACATATAATGCACTATGAGAGATGTATTCTTTAACATCCAAACAGTATACAAATAGATTAACTGAACTCCACCTCAACCAGTTATATTGTGTAAAAGCTGTCATTGTGGCAATGTTATATTTATAGAGGGAGGGGGAAGAAGAAACAAGCAACAAGCATTTTTACTTTTGATTCTGCAATTGAACGACCACTACCTAATTCTAACAGAATATAAAGATTGTTTTGTATTTCTGCTTTTACTTAAGTAAAGGAGAATTTAGTAAAAAACCGGCAAGCAAACTGGAAAAATCCACACATTTCAGGATGTTTCTTAACGCTCTTCCTAGGGGGGTTGAAGAGGGTGTAAAGTTCAACGTTTGACAATCATCAGTGAAATTAGTCTTGTCATACTCTGCCATACCATTGCAGCACAGTCTAGTCTAACCCGGACTCCTGGGTGAGTTAAAAGGTTTAATAATGAACTCCATTGACTTGGTTGAAGAACCTTATCTACTGACTTCAGGCAGACGGGTTTCATGTATTCTACCTCTTTTTGACCTTCTTCAATAGGATAGAAAGACACATCGTGATGGTCTGAGCTCGATTGACAACAGTATGATAGCTCTTGGAGGGAAGATGATACCATGCTACACTGTACAGAGGAACCTGGCATGTATTCAGCGCACTGTGGGTAAGAATGTTGCTCCTGATTGGCTTTTAATGTTCATTAAACAGATTGTGAGTGAGCAATAAGTTAAAATCATACTGCGGTACTGCATACTGATGCTGCTTTTTCATGAAGGTCTTCTGTAATTGTGATGTATTTAAACACCTGAGATCATGTAATTCTCCCAGGAACAACTTTTATTTAAAATTTAAAATAACACCAACATATTTTTTTTATCTTCAGGATTATAATTATGAATTTCTGCCATCTCCAACATAAAGCTCAAGTACCTGGTGAGATAAATCTGTATAATTTGAAACAAACTAAAACAATGAGCCAAGGATGTAGTTATTATTTTAAACCATAAACCAGGGATTAAGTCATGGTTGTTAATTAATCGTAGGGTTAGTGATCTAATCCTGTCCAAATGTCAAAGTGACCTAGAGACCAATGATGAGCGTGTATGTGGGGAAAAGGCCTATGTGAAAAGCTTTGGATAAAATCATTGGCCAAATACATTAAAATGTTAAAATACACAAACCAAAGACACAACAACTAATACTTTGACTTTAGAGCATTTGAAATACTGGTTTCAAATGCTGCACCAACAATTATTTATTAATTCTGAGATTGTATGTAAAAGGAGTACATGTAAAGTATGTAAAAACGTAACTGACGCTTAAATATAACTTTTTCTTCATTTTAAACGTGTTTGTGCATTACGATCTGAAGTTAAACCATGATTTAATCATAAAAATGTATTCTATAATGTAACTTTTATAAATGCTCTATCACAAGTGTGTTTTTCTTCTACCCGCAGGTGGAGTTCATTGGACGAGCAGCTGTAGACCAGCCCCGCTTCTGACAGCCTCTCCTGTTTGTGCTCTCATAGATGACAAGATCAGCATCAGAGGACACTTCCTGCCCCCACGGTGTCCCGTCACAGTGTGTGCACAAATGCAAAGTGATGATGGTGACCTGTGGGAAGCATTTGCCCATTTTAATACAAATTTAGATGGGACTGTAAACTGTGAGTCAAATGTTCCTTGTAAAGTATGTTCTGTGTTGGGTTTTATGTTTTAACTTTGTATTATTGTTATTGCAACAAGAGTAAGCATTATTCACTTGTTACAATTTCTGAAAGAAGTCAGATTGTTGATGTGAGACAAAAAGTTTTCTTCATAAGAATCATTGGAATATAAAAAAAAAAAGATATATATATATATATATATATACAGTAGATATATTTATATATTTTTATTTTGTATTTGTTCCCCTCTTACCTCATGTGCTGTTGACCAATCTAAATAACTTTGGTGTCGCAGGTGAATGCAAAAATATTTTTATTTGATTTTGATGCACTGTCATTTTGAACATTGAATCTGAATTAACTAACAGGTTGGTGATGTTCTCCCTTTTCTGTCTCTCTGTCTCCTTCATAGTGACCAGGGATCCTTCAGTCGGGGGCTCATATTTGGGCTGTGAGCCAATGGGGTTGCTATGGGGACTGCAGCCGGCTCCGGGGGCCAGAGAAGGCTTGAGGCAGATGATGAAACAAGCTCCCTGAGAGCTTAATATATAACAACTACCTAAGATGTGGCTGTCATTGATTTCACATGTTCAGCGTTTTAGAAAAAAAATGATATCAAATCAATATCTCTACAGTAGATGGGTGATCTGACTGAAAATGTGGTCTTTCTTACAGGCTGAGAAAAAAAAAAGTAGAGACTCCATACGTAATGCTCATGTCCTTACTGAAGGGCCATGTTTCACCCAGTGAGAGACCCAGCACCGAGCTCGCTGCTGTAACTGCTGAGCGCTGGTACATGGCACCAGGCGTACGGAGAATAGAGATTCGCCAGAAAGGAGTTGTCGGGACGTTGTTTTTACCGCCTGGTGAGCACGATTTTTTACTTTCCCTACAAAATGTAAAAGCTGCAATGGTTCATGTCTGGCCACATGGTGTCGCATTTCACCTCTAATATTGGGTCCATGCAAGTGTTTGACACTTATTTTGAATGTATTATTTATTCACATACTGTTGCTAATTTTCTTATCTTGATCTTTTTATTTATTAGCCTATATTTCTGCCCATATTTTACACATCTCACATTTGTAAGCACCTACTGTACTGTCTTAATTGTAACTTTTGTTTTTTCTTGTGAAGCATTTTCTGTAAAAGGTGCTATACTAAATACATTTAATACATATTAATATTATTATTATTACTGATTTCCTGCAGGCCCAGGCCCATTTCCAGCCATGTTGGACCTGTGGGGAATGGGTGGAGGACTGGTAGAGTACCGCTCCGCCCTTTTTGCCTCCAGGGGCTATGCTAGCTTCTCCCTTGCCTACATAGGGCACAAAGATTTGCCTGGCCCACAAAATCGGATCAATGTTGGTGATCCATATTTCAAAGTAAGATTATTCAACTTAACCATAATTTCTTTATTTCTGCATCATGTATACATGTCACTTGTCATTCCCTAATAAATATTATTTGTTTTTGTTTTGTTTTGACAGTCAGCGTTTCAACTACTTCAAGATCATCCTCAGGTCTATCCCGACAGAATTGGGATCATAGGACTCTCCTTTGGAGTCTACCTGACTCTCCGGCTTGCCAATCATTCTGACATCAAAGTAAGTGAGAAATAACTTTTTCTGTAGTTTGATCAATACATAGATACATGCTGATGAAATATACTATATGCCAAGCAATACAAAAGTTATTTGTGACTCTAAATATGTTTGCTGAATTCACGTTGACTTTTAACAATTATTGTTCTCCCCTCCAGCCTTCCTGTTTGATTTGTATCAATGGACCAGCAGGAAGCACCATCAAGCTCAGAGACGCAGATGACAGGACTGAACAAATGGAAAAGTAGATGTTAAATAAATATGCAATTTGTAGGAAATTATTTTCAAGACATCACTAACGGTACGTCCACACTGCAGCGTGCGTTGAAGCTTGCCGGTGGGCGTGTCTGGCGCGCGACCAACCACCAATCACATGAATCTCTCGCCCCGGACACACAAGCATGCAGTTTAATTTGCTAGCGCTTGTACTGGCATATTATTTGATTGGCTGACGCTTCCATCGAAGCTTGAAAAGTTGAACTTTTCTCAAATTTTGAAGCGAGCAATGGAGGCGACGCGACGGAACCACAATGCAGTTCGGCAAAGCCTGACGTCACCCCATTCAAAGTGAATTGGAAGCGTCTCCGTTGAAGCAACGCACGCTGCCGTGTGGACGGGCCGTAAGGGATTATTGCAGTAATCCATGTGACGGGTTTAGCATCAGGAGTGAAAGTCTTTAAAGTACTTTGAAGTGCTAGTCTATTAAATACAACAGGGTGTTGTTCATTTTCTGATGTTAACCAATTACATTACATTTGAGAGGCAGAATATGTGTATCACAATCAAATGTTTTTTATTTCTCATAACTGGTTAAAAAAGTATATAAGTTGGACTGGTCTTTGTTAACTTGTCCTTTTAGTGACCAGAAATATTGGACGTATGATGATCAGGGCAATGTGAGTTTCAGAGCCGTCTCCTTGCCTGCCAACCTTTCCCCTGAGAGCAAAGTGAAGGTGAACCGACCACACCACACATGTTTAGGGTGCACACTTAGCTTACATAATCAAATCAATTTGCTTTTTAAAGTTTTAATTTGAGAGTTACATCTTGTTTTTTTGCAGTTAGAGCATCTCACATGTCCATTAATGTACATAGTGGGTGAAGATGACTTGAGTGCTTCAAGTATAGAAAATGCGAACCTGGTAAGTAACTCAATATTACAAATTATAATTTTTGGAAAGCATGTAATGCTTTATGCTTTTTTATTGGTCAACAGATTGAAGAGACCCTGAGTGCTACAGGTAAATCCCAGCTGTTTACCCGGTTGTCGTACCCTGGTGCCGGTCACCTGATTGAACCGCCTTACACGCCAAATTCAAGAGTGTCCCTGTGGAGCGTCAAACCACAAAAACGTAAGCCCTATCACAGAGCTTTATTTTACATTGAGCCATGTCATATTTTATACTTGTTTTCATACCAGGTTAAATATGAGACTGGTTATTGTAATATAGAGTATGTAACTAATGAAAGTATTACTTATCATACTGCTGCTTATTTTGTTGTTCCTGCAGTGGCCACTCTGTGGGGAGGTCACCTTGCACCCCACGCTGCTGCCCAGGAAGATTCCTGGAAGAAGATCCTGGAATTTATGGAAACTAACCTCAGACATTGAATTGTTGTACGATATTATCTCAGTCTGGCTTCAGATGCTCCACATCAATAACGCTGAGGAACCCCTTGAAGTAGCCTCCATGTTTTTTTTGTCATCATGTATACATGTATTTTATAACTTATATAATACTAAACATTCTTCAAAAAAAACGGCAGCTTATTCTGTAAAGATTTTTTTTTTAATGTGCTTACATGCTAAATAATACTTTTTTTTTATTTTGGATTGAAGAGGTCATGACATGCTGAGGTAACCATGGCAATGAGTCCGATGAACTCTTTGAAGTCGATCTCCAGGTCTCTGTTCTGGTCGAGGTCCATAAAGAGCTGATCCAAAACGTCATTCTCGTGAATTTTCTGTTCAGCAGAAACATAAAATGAAAGAGAAACATTTGAAGTAAATCAAAATGATTTACGAGTCTAAAAGTCTTTACATATGTCATTGACAACTTGAGGTTGAAATGCTTATTTTTCACCAGAAAACACATTTGTTGGATAGGATCGAACTTGTTTAACCCATAGGTGGTCATAAAGTAATGTTTGTTAAATGTCTGTACAACTTCCATATTGTAAAATGGTCACCAATGCAACATTCAAAACATGTCTACATGCTTTGTTAGCTTTAAACTTTATAAGTATCTAAGGCTTGACCTAAAATGTTGTTAGTTGATTTATACTTGTAAAAATGATCTGAATCTGCAAAGCATCTAAAGTTAACTATAAAATAAATGCAGTGGAGTAAAACGTGCAATATCTGCCTCCAAATTGTAGGGAAATAGATGCATAAAGTAGCAGAAAATACTCAACTAAAGCACAAAAACCTCAGAAACACTACTAAGCTAAATTCCAACCATGCTCAACATATCCAGTTATTACATTTACAATTATACACATCATAACTGTTGCACATGGGAAGGTATCTTTAGTAAAAAGTTGTTAAGTTTATATATAATTCCATAACTTACCATTATGAAATGACTCATCTCATTGTTGATGAGCTCTTTAAGCTCTGTCTTCTTCAGCTTGCACTTTTTACCCGAGTATTTGTGGAAAACTTTGATGATGTTGATCATGCCACCCTCCAGCTCTGACATATCTTCGTTTGAGGCCTGCAACAAATAATTCAAACAAAATCCCATTACACTACTAGAAGAATGTTTTACCCACATCTTAGGGTGTTGTGATAGACAACAATTTTTCTCAGTTTGTATACATTTAATTACATTGTAACGTGATGCATCCACTTATAATATTATATTGTATTTTAGGAATATAAACTCTAAACATTTAGTCTTTCTTACCGCCATCTGAAGAAACACCTCTGTCTTGTAGGGATCGTAAGTGGGAATGATGACTTGTTCAGTATTGTGTCGACTGCCTCGCCCAGTTTACTCTGACCACTCAACTGTATTGATCCACCACACCAAGCTTCCTTAACTGCCATGCACTACGTAATGCACGACTAATGGTTTTTAGTGGTCAGGGCCTTGTGCAAAAAGCCTTTTCTCTTAGAATCTATAATTTCTGAAGTCATGTTCCAACATTTAGCCTATAATGTGTGTATGTAATCCAGTTTATGAATTGCATAATTGGTGCTTTTTCCTGTTTTCTGTCATGCTATTGTGGTCTGTTTAGGCGACTGTTTGGGAGGGTGTGTTGAGTCCTGCAGATAATGTCCACTTGCAGATTCAGTGTAGGCCTACAGTTTTTTCATAGAATTCCTATGTGTTCATTGCTTGTTTCTGATGCTCTCCAGTCGGCAACACTTCTATGGGCAAAAGTAAGGTTTAATAATAAATAAATGTAAACAATAATAATACATTCATATTTAACTTTTTTTTTGCCAATACATTTACTGCGGTCAAGCCAGCCTCCACTTCGGAAAACACAGTCAAGCCAGCCCGCACGTTATATTGCGGTGCGCGAATATCCTATGCATTACGGTAGGGGTCTGGAAAAACTGCCTTCAAAATAAAAGCGCTTACTCGGTCAATAACAAATATTCCTAAAAAACATACCAAACATATTCATACTGGAGCTTAAATTAAGAAATCTGTACTATAATGTGATCAATAATTATTTAAAACAAACTACGTATAACTACCACATTATAACTGAGTGAATGTCAAACTTAAGCTTCTAAATAAAAGACCTTTGAAGTCTCATATGAGCTATCGTCCCGCTGTTTTCAGATAATAATAATAATAAAACTTAAACTCCTGTATCAAATACTTATTTCACTTCAGGGTGATAGCAAGACACCCCATCTAGTCACTCAGAGAATATCAGGACAATCTGATGTAGAGTTTCTCCCTGAAGTGAAATAAGTCTTTGATACTGGAGAGTTTTTGTTTTATTCTTATTTAAAAACAGAGGGATGATAGCTCATATGAGACTACAAAGGTCTTTTATTTTGAAACTCTTCATCAGATTGTCCTGATATTCTCTGAGTGACTAGATGGGGTGTCCTGCTATCACCCTGGAGTGATATTAGTCTTTGGTACTGGAGAGTTTTTGTTTTATTCTTATCTAAAAACAGATGGACGATAGCCATATGAGATTTCAAAAGTATTTTATTTTGAAACTCCTTAAGTTTTACATTCACTCAGTTATAATGTGGTAGTTATACATAGTTTGTTTTAAATAATTATTGATCACATTATAGTACATATTTCTTAATTTAAGCTCCAGTATATATGAATATGTTTGGTATGTTTTTTTAGGTATATTTGTTATTGACCGAGTAAGCGCTTTTATTTTGAAGGCAGTTTTTCCAGGCCTCTACCGTAATGCATAGGATATTCGCGCACCGCAATAAAACGTGCGGGCTGGCTTGACTGTGTTTTCCGAAGTGGAGGCTGGCGCTTGACCGCAGTATACATTTAACTCAAAATACCTGTGTCTGGAGGTTGAGAGAGTCTGTAACCAAAGCACTACATACGTTTTATACTGCAAAGCATTTTCTCAAGAAATTAAAGGATGATTCAAATATACATTTTTGGCTACTTCTTGAACAACTCAATATGAAACCACGCCCCATCTTTTCTGGTGGTGAACAAGATGTCTTTAAATTTAAAAGTGACATCTTTCGACTTGATTTTATGAACATTTGGGCACTTTACCTATGACAGGAAACTTGAGGAAACACACTGCATAAATTAATCGTTGTTTAAACACAAATTGTAAACGTCCCATAACAACCCTAGTTAGGTAGACAACAATCTACAACCTATATATGTACAGTATTATGTCTACATACATACAACCTAATTTCTATCAAAACAAGCCAATGTGCGCACTGCTCCGAGATCGAAGCTTGAAATTCCCATGTGCATTTGAACGCAGCGTGGCATCACTTCCTGTTGTCTGCTCCTTGTAAAAAGTACCGTATTATCTCTTCGGTTGCGCGCCTGTCTGCTGCACCTTTAGTTTGCCAGCCTAGATGTGAAGGACCGTCCACCCTTCCTTCAAGAGGAAACTCGCTCTGACGTAGAGAAACCGGAGCGGCGCGGTCATTCTGCTATTTTAGTGAAACTGTGCGTTCTCTCACATTCCTGTCATACCGAAATATCCGTGTTTGGTGACTTTAGGACGAACAGAATAAACACAGCCACGGTGAGCGACAGACGAAAGGGTAATAAGCGGTGTGTAACCTGGTTTTAGGTAAGCTTTCAATCATTTCTCAATGTTTTATTTTTCTCTGCCGTTTTCAATGTCTTTGCTTCGTTATATAATCTCATGAAACCCTAGCAAATCCTGTTCGACAGGATGTCAAGAGCAGAAATCAGCAGATTGTCCATGCTTTTTTTGAATATGTTTCATTTGTGTTTATATTGTGTTGACCTTTAATGTACTACAGTACGTAGCTCTACAAATTACCCCCCTTGGTAAATAAGTTTTTTTTTTTATGTAAGTGAAATTGACTTGAATGGTAAAGTTGTGTGACGGTAAAATACAAACGAACTACATTAGAGGCCCTTTTCCATTTCCATAAAACATATAGGCTACTGTAATATTCCACTGACATGACTAAACGCAAACACCACTGTGTAGTGCCAATTGTCATTTTCTACACACCCCAATGTGTTTTATTGTATTTTGTTTACCCTCATAGTATTTTATTATAAGATAATGTACAGTTTTGTTTTCCATACTTTTAAATAATCATTTGGAAATGGAGATACCTGAAGTGTTTAGAGAGGATAGTGATCTGCATAGGTGTTATGCATTTCAGAAGAGATACTGTGGTTCACATGCAAAAGACCTGAGGCCACTTTCTCCTCCCTCATGCACTCATCTTTTTTCAGATATGTCCTGTTTTCATTTTAAGGCTATAATTAGCTTGTTATGTGCAAAGTGTGACCTGCCTCCTCTCTCTTTTTCTCTCTCGCACACGTTGACTAAACCCTCTCTTCTTTTCTTTCTGCTCAGGCATGGCTGATCTGCTGAGGCTGCTGCTCCGGGTGGCAGAGAAAGCGGCTAACGTGGCTCGTGTCTGCAGGCAGGAGGCTCCCCTCTTCCAGCTCCTCGTACAAGAGAAGACCGGAGATGACAAGAACAAGAAGTTCGTCCAGGACTTCAAGACGCTGGCTGACGTGGTGATCCAGGAGATGATCCGGCATGATGTTGGTGTTAAGGTAGGAAATGTCTGGACTAAAGTACGGGCTGTCATAATCCACTGGTGCTGGTCTGTAATCATGTCCTGTCTCTTCTTTTGGTCAGTTCCCTGAGATGGCGGACTTCATCAATGGAGAGGAGTCCAACAAGTTTGAAAATGGGCTAGGTAATGACTTGATATCTTACTTAACACAGTACTTGTTCATGTTCTCTTTTCACTTTTGGATGTTAATGACTTCACGCGCAAAGCGGACTTTAGTTTGTCAAAATCACACTGGAGTTTGGACAGATAGTGATTGTATTAAAAAATAATTACAAGTTAAGAGCTGATTATTTTGGTCGACACTGAGTCCAAAAACTTGACCTGGCGAACGACATGTCCTACAGACACACAATGCCCTGCATGTCAGTTTGATTTTGGTTTTTAAAATGTATTTTAGGATTTGCAACATGAAAGTATCAATAAAGCAGTACCTTCATTATGACCTACTTTGCTAATCCTCTTGTGATATGCCTCATCTTGAATACATTTATATTAGGGCCGTAACAAACAAGTAATTATTTGGTCTGTTAAATGTTAAAAGGATTGAAAAAGATTCACACAATCTCAATTTCCAAAAGCCCAACCTGATAACTTCTCATGGTGTTTTTTGTCAAATTATATATCTCTGTAATATCAAAAAAATATATTTACAGACTTGGAATTAAGGAAATTGTTCTGCCCTTTTAGCCCAAATGATTAATCAAGAAAATTGTCTTCAGATTAATCAAATGATGAACTGAAACAGATAAGCTGATAACAACTAAAACAATCTGGTGAGTGTCGTGGGCTGCAGGAATATAGAAGCTTTTGTCTGTTAATTATATGATGGAAGATTAAAGATCGAATGAAATAATAATCACTCAACCTTCATTTGGGTGACCTAATACTTTAAACATTATAAACACTTGAGTAAATCACCTGCAGTTTAACCTCAAAGTCCAACATCTTTCATCTAAAATAATAAGAACAAAAAGCTAACACATCAACACTGTCCAAATATTTAAGCTCACTGTGTAAATATTTAAATAATCAAAGGAATACTTGGTTTTCTCCCTCTGTTAACAGGAGAGAGTGTGACGGTGACAGTGTGCGCTACAGAGGAGGACACCGCGGTGCTGCTGGCCTCCGTGCTGGACGGCGACCTCACCGCGGCCTCTCTGCTGGCCCGGGCCATCCACCAGGACCCGGCGAGCATCCAGGCCGACACCGACGGTCTGACGGTCCCCCTCAGCCCCTCAGAGCTCGGCATCTGGATCGACCCCATAGGTGAGCTGCTGTGTTCCTGTCTGATGCATTTATCCAGAAAGCACAGCAGAGATAATAACTGATTTATTCTTTTGTTTGCATTAAGATGCCACCAGCCAGTACATAGAGGGCAGAGAGGAGGTGCTGGAGGAGGGCCGCCTGTTTCCCTCAGGTCTGCACTGTGCCTTGGTCCTGATCGGGGTTTATCTCCGCAGCACAGGCGAGCCCGTCATGGGCGTCATCAACCAGCCGTTCAACTACAAAGACCCAGCAGGTGGAGGGTGAGTTTAAAAAACATCTGTAATACTTCTTCTTTTTACATCGTATGGTTTCTACACTGTTCTGGTTCCCTCTCCGCCAAAGCAACGGCCTCAAGGTCTGAAAAGGGAAGCCAATGCTTAAATTACTTAAATCTGCATCCTTTATAGTATCTAGCGTGGGGCAACTTCAATAGCTGCAAAATAAAAGTCAGATTGAATAGAAGTCTATGAGAAAATGACCCTACCTCTCACTTGATTGATTACCCCAGTAAACATTTCATTGAGTAGTTTATGGTCTCGATTGCTAGTTTAAAGTCTTCTTCAATACAGCATGATGTTCATTTTCCAAATAATGGTCCCATTTAAAGTAAAACAGACGATACAGGTGGCTACCATGGCAGTGTCCGGTTTAGTTATTGACCATGTTTTAGACCCCGGCCACACGAGGACAAAAACGGCTAAACGCATAGGATTAACGCAATCGCAAACAAGCTTCCGTCCACACGCAATAGTTATCCGGATAGTGTCTGCCCACACGAGACCGCTCCGTTTAGCTCCAACCGCTGGAGAAGCTGCAGTACATGCAGGAGCCTGTACGTGGCGCTGTAACTTCCTCCACAAAAGCAGCGAAGAAGCATGGTTGTCATGGTTGCCCTTCTGTTTATTCTCCGCGGTGGGGGCCGAGGGAACCGGGCAGAGTTTTTCACCAGTCAACGTGTATTAAAGTTTAAACCTTCCGACAAAATTATAAAAGTGCCGGTCAAAGGTCTTCTTTGTTATTTATTGAGCTTTAAAACAAATGAATAACGACTCTATATAATATAATAATATAAATACACGGAGCCTCTCTTTTTCCTCCCTCTCTTTGGACAGCGCCAGTGTCTGTTTCATGCAGCAGCTGATCCAGTAATGAGTGACCCGGCCGACAGTAAAAATAAACATATTTATAACTAGTTTAGGTAGTTTGAGAGGTGTCTCCGTCCTCTCAGATTAGACTTCACTCGCGTTTATGTCCATATCGAGAGAAAGATAAATAATCTGAATTCAGTGTGCAGTTTACTTTGACGCGGGGGTGAGCAGCAGAGGTGGGGAGAGGCGGGGCTATTGCCTCATCATTATCAGAAAATTATCGTATAGGGCGTACACACGGAGCCGTTGGACCCCCCAGAGCGTTGCGTATGCCATTCTATCCACATTGGGACCCGTTATCGTTTCCTCAGTCGTTTAGTGCCGTATTCGGTCGTCCTCGTGTGGCCGAATGGTCTATATGACACTAAACAGTAACGCAACGGCCGTTTTCGTCCTCGTGTGGCCGGGGCATTAATCTTAAAACTAACTTTTTCACAGTGGGTTTACAGTTTTTAAATGTTGGTCCCCTAAAAACGTTTTGTTAATCTTTCAGTTGTACTTATGTGATTACCTGTCCATATGAAAATGGATGCTCTCACTGCTCGTATGCAGCAGGCTCTAAAAACGTACTGTTCCTGATCTGCACTAGATGTCAGACAGAGAGTAAAGTACAATATTCTCACCCTAACACTCATTATTTGTGTTCACAGCTGGAAGGGGAAGCATTTCTGGGGGGTTTCTTGCGGCAGCATCAATGTCTGCTCAGAGACCCGGCCTAAAGCAGGACCTGCGGGGGGGCTGTCTGCGGTGCTGAGCTCCAGTGAGAAGCCGGTGGTAAAGGAAGCCCTGACCTCACTGTGCGGCCCGGACAAGCTGATGTTCGCCTCTGGAGCCGGATACAAGATCCTGTGTGTCATCCAGGGCCTGGCTGACGTCTACGTCCTGTCGGAGGGGAGCACCTTCAAGTGGGACTCCTGCGCCCCTCACGCTCTGCTCCGGGCCCTCGGAGGGGGGGTGGTGGACCTCCACAAGTGTCTGCAGTCCAGCTCAGGAGCAGAGGCAGAACTGACCTACCACCAGCCCCGCACTGAGTGCAAAGGAGCGGACCGCTGGGCCAACCATGGCGGCCTGGTGGCGTACAGAGACTGTTCCCAGATCAGCCGCATCATCGCCCCTCTGAAAGGCAAGCTGTAGCTGAAGCAGCTGTTGTTGCATATATGATCATATTCTTATTTTCTGTATACGTAGAAAGAGAAGGATAAGGGTGCAGGAGGAAATATTTTAAACACATATTATATTGTCTTGTTTTAAATGAGATATATTTGCAATAGAGCTGCAAGTATTTTCTTACGATTAATCTGCCAGTTATTTTCTAGATCAATCATTCGGTCTATAACGTGTCAAAAAAACATCCCAGTTTCTTTAATGTCTTGTTCCGTCAGTCCAAATCCCAAAGATATACAGTTTAATGTAATATAAAACAGTTAGGAAAAGATATCACTATATTCGAGAGGCTAAAATGACTTTTCTGACATTTTTGCATGACAAATTACTATAAAAACTAATTGTTGCAGGTCTAGTTTTCAAGTGTTTCCATAGCAAGATAAACATCTGGTCTGGGCCAAATATTTTTTTCAAATACTGTCTATGCTTTTATTCATAAGGTTGTGGACATTCAATGGGAAAACCCATGCTAATCAATCAAAACCAATATCATTTAAAGATTCCTGTCTGGCTCTTTAGATTTTGTCAAAGAAGCCTTGTGTCTTTTTGATTAACAGAAAAAGATGTTCATCATGACAGATGAGTAGGACTTGTTATGTGGGCCAATGTGACAGGCCGCAGACAGTTCAGACAATCACAAGACTCTTTCAGGCAGTTTCACTTCTACCATTAACCGGCTGTAGCTCTGTGACAATCCAACATGTCAGCTTCCTCATGGCAGCTACAACACTGTAAGCCTATTTGTGCATCCAGTTTAGCTCAGACCTTGTTGAGCATTTATTATAATTATGTAAGCTGTGTAAAAGTATATATACATTTGCTTAAAGACAGGTAATCATGTTAAAGTTAACAGAAGGAACAGTGCTCACTGCTGGACAGCTGAGGAACACTTCACTGCCAGAGGAACGGAAATCAGAAGATGCCTCCGACTCGTCTGAGGGAATTATCTTGGATTCAAAGGAGTTTAAATTTCAGTTATAATAGTCCTATCACGTTTTTTTCCCAGCCCATCTAGTCTTAAGGGTTATAATAAGTCAAGAGAATCAAATTGCCCCGTTCACAGTAATCTGCACCTCTCTGAAAGAACTCCTTTTAAGGAGCAGACGGTAACCTGCCCTCTCTCCATGGCCATAGCACCATGAGTCAATAAGGTCAGAGGATGGAAATTCCATATGAGGTAAAACAGTGACAAAGAGTGCTTTTCGGGTAGGGATTACAGTCAATTAAACATTAAAGGATGAGAGGTTTATAAAGTTATCTTAAAGGTCCCATGTCCTGGGCCCAGGAGTTCAGATCAGATTTAGATTATGGGGAGTTCAAAACCAAAAAACAGGATTAGGATCACTTTGATATCCGATCAGATCAGGAAATCAAATCCAAGCTTTCATCTGGATCAAATCTTCAAAACGGGTAGTTCAAATTGACAACACAGGATTGGGATCAGTTTGATCCCAAAAAACTGGATTATCCTGATCCCACCAGAGGGGTGGGTTTCCAGAGCAAAATGTACTGTACAATTTATTTTAAAATATGTTTCAATTTAAATTAGATGGCAAAGTGTGTTAACTGAAATAATACACAATTTTTAGCCTTCATGGCAAATCAATTTTATTTTTCATTTTTCGCTCACGTTTGTGGTGGCCTATTTTGTTTTCAACCAAATGTTGATGACATAAATGTTTATGCTCATAAAAGTATCACAACAAAGATTGTCAATCACAAATGTAATTTCGATTAAATTAAAAATATCTTCAACAAAAAAAAAGCCCATCTTTCATCACCTTTCAAAAGTAATTGCGGACAATAGATGTCTGCAATGTGGTCTCTTGTCTTCCTTGTATTCTTTTTCATGTCCACTAGATGGCGCTCGGTAGGATTAAAGCACTGATATTCAGGATCTAGTCATCTTGAAAAATCGTAATCTGGATCAGGGTGATCCTATCCTGAATTGCTTTGAACTCCAGGGACAACATTTGGCCGATTTGTCTGATCCTGGATCACAAAAAATGGCTGAGAAATCCGCGGAGCTGCAGCTGAGGAAAGATTGAGTGAGTGTGTGTAATGGACCAATCCGCGGATTTAACGTAACGGCTCCACGGATTGGTCCAACACACACACACACACACACGGGTAATAACCAGAAAAGCATGACATGGGACCTTTAAGGAATAAGCAGATTCGTATCAAGATGTTTTTAATGATCACTTTGTCACTTTCATTGTCACTGTGTATGTTTAAAATGGTATGACTTTGATATGCATTGTTGTATAACTGATAAATAATTTGTGTAAAGGAACAGAATCACTTGTGCATAATAGGAAATCCTCTTTTATTTTGAAAACCAGAGAAAGCGGGGGAAAGAAACCCAACAGTGATATTTTCAAACTGTTTACCAGCCAGGGAACTCGCCTCACAATTCCCTACAAAAAACCCTGATGATTGTCAGACATTGTTTGCAATACTTCTGCATAATCTGTTAAAACTTAGAAAAGAACAAAATGTGAAGGGTTGGCTCTTTCATTAACCTCTTGGACTTTAACCTGCTACCTTTAACACACAGCCCGTACATTCTGGAGTCGAGGTGTGGAGAACAATGCACTCTGCTCAGCGTGGTTTCAGCTGGGTTTCCCAGACAGGGACTGAATTACATTTTGACGGTTTCTTTGAAATTGTAAATAGGAAGTGAGGTTATCAAGGCCTAAATGAATCACTGCATGTGGTTGATATCAGTTCTGATTATTTATTTCTGATTATCACTATGAATTTTACCCCAGTCCAAATGTCAAAACTAGTTTAAGGCCATTACATTTTTCTGACTTAACCTATAACCTTTCTTTTATGCAATAACACTTTCCCCCAGAATAACGTTTTTTTCATTTTTAAAAAAGGAGCCATTTTAGTATAATGACTCAATCCATGTCTGGGAAACTGATCCAATGAGTAAAGAGAAAACTATTTCACACATGAAAAGAAACATGGCAAACTTAATGACCTGCTTCGATGAGCTCTAGCAACAAAGATTCAAACCACCATTATGCAATCTATTGCCAGAATATAATTCTGACACTTGTGTTACACCAGAGCTTGATGGTCGTGCAACTTAAATGTTGTTTTTTTCAATAATTTGACACTCATTTAACATTCAGATTCTACCCAAAAAGAATTGTTATTTGCAAATGAGCTGTTAGCTTAGCGAGCTACACCTCCTACTCAGCTGCAGCTGGAGGAGGCTGTTAGGCTAAATCACTGATGACTGTTCAAAACCCTGCTGATGTTATTACAGGGGCGGATGTGCAAATTAACACAACAAAACATTGAAAATTGTACTTTTCATCAACTGTCATTATAAAAAATAGCCTTTATCAAATGCCTTATCACACATAATTGCCATTTATCTATACTCTCACAAACTTCACATATCAGGTGTAAACAACATCTGTTTTCTTAAATTAACCAATGATGAAAAGAAAATTATTTCTATGCAAGAACCATACCAAAAAACAAAATCAAAAGTACAACAAATTATAATTTTCTGACCCTTCAAGTTGTCAACAGTATATCAGCTTAATTAGATTTCCTGTGCACTTGTGACCTTGACATTTTAAAAGATTAACCACATCTAGGTGCAAGGTTTAACCAGAAGAAAATGCGCATGACAGCAAAACTAAGAGCCACATTATGTATTCCTTAAACTGAAAGCTAAGATGACACTGCAGGATGGAACAAGATCAACAAATGTAATTATTTGAAACGAGCTCAAAACGTTTAACAATGTTGATTTGAATTGTTATTGTTTTACAGAGTTATCTGTGTGGGGTTGACCGTGTGAAAGTCGTTACAGAAGAAATTAAATGAACAATGCTGAAGTGAAAAAAAAGGGAATTGACAGCATTGTGAGTTTTTATACAGGTCAGGCTTGTTTCAGTTTTTGCAAATTAGCACATTTTCTGGTGCAAAATGAAATACATTTAAGACTCAAATGACTGTTAAACTTTGTAAATCATTGAAACTGTGGCAGACTTTTCACTCTGCGTGGTTTTACAGTGAATCAAGCGGGGGCAGTGTAGTGTTAGTATGTGGTCTTTAAAACAGAAATGAATCCCTGGTGAGGAATAATATCAGCATTTCAAAATGTCAAGGTGTCACTTTTAAAGTTTTGAATCAAAGCAGCTTGAGTTCAGTAACACAGCTGAAGTCCTTCCTGTTTAACTTGTTCAATAACAACAACCTGGAGCTGAAGCACTGAACAGCGGGAACATTTAGATTTGGATCAGCATTTCAAAGCAAAATTATTCATTTACCTATTCAGGTCAAGATTTGAGATCTGCACTCTCTCCTCTCTGGCTCAGGGGCCCTTGATAAAAGAAGTTTATAAATGCAGGATGTGTATCTCTGGTAACTTCCATCCGGTTTTAGCATTTCAAATTCTGCACAAACGGCCTAATCTTTAATAGTCATACATTTGAAAAGACTTGTAACACTCACCACTGAAACTGGACTAGAGACACAAGTTTGGTATTTGTTTTACTTTGACCTTTCATTGAGTTATGTTTACTGATATTTAATAATTTGTCTGTCGGCACACTACCAGAGATACACACCATACTCTCAGATGTTACTACAGCTCACCAATACAAATGTTGCAACTGCCCAAATTTGACAATTTCCTGCGCTTTTTGTAAATTTGGTTCAGATGTGTTGGGTTTAACTGTTTTTTTAATCGTTCTTAAAATAATATGTTGGCAAGGTGCAACATGAGTAACCACTGACAGTGAAGCTGCCCACATCATTATCACCACCTTAATCACATGATCCATTACTCAATGTAACCCTCTGTTCAAGTGTCACTCACTCCGCTGGGAACCAACGTCTTCAACTAGCCTTCTGGAAAAACATCAACAAAAGTGAGAAAACTGAAGTGTTACATTTCAGGTGAATAAATCATGCATTGCAGGATTTGGCAGGAAATGATGAAAGAAAAATGTTTACAGCATCCTGATAAGGATATCAATGCCAAGGCTACAGTTGCCTTAAAGACCAACGAAAATATAAGGTGAGATGAGAGGTAAAGCACCGTCACAGCGTCACCTCTTCCACCCTCCTTCAATACTTCAGATCACACGCTGCAGTCTCTCTCTGGCAGATCTGACCCATGAATTATCTCTGGTTCAGATCTTGGCATGCCAACAGGCAGGCGAGACACACATGGCCATTAATTACCGAGTCCCTGTGTTGCTATGTTGTTTCACTGAGAGGTTAACAGCCTTCACCTCTGGAAGGGTTTGCGGACCTTCTTCCTCCTCCGGGGGGGTTTGCCACCCTCGGCCCACGTCTCGCTGGGCTCCGGTCGCTGAGCCCCCGGCATGAAGAAACCTGTCTGGCTCGGGGGAGGAGAGAACGGGGGCGCTGCAGCCC